TGCTCACAGGTCCATCGATCAGGCTATTCTATATTTTATTATTATATCATATAATACAACAGAAACTGTAAATGAGTCTCATTGAAAAACAATCACCTATTTATTACACAGTAATAATATCCCATGAAACACTAGGTTCAACAGTGTGTCCCAATATTTATTGAACTGTGTTTCCTCCAAGTTTGGATACAATTCAACAAAAATGAGAACAAGAATGCATTTGTGAAAAATGCTATGCCACCGCATTAATATAACAGATGTAATTTTTTATGCCTTCGCAATAAAATGGCTGGGGTAGATAGTGTTACCCTCTTCTGTCATTCAGTCCGTCCGTCCTTCCGTCATTCCGTCATCATCAGTTGCCGTTCATTACCTGAGTAACGGTTGCACAAATTTAACATAAATTTGACATATGGAAATATCATGAAAAAAGGTCAAATTCGAATTTGGTCATGGTCCAATGATTTTTGGCAGAGTTATGCCCCTTGATAAAATTTTCAGTTTCCATTCATTATCCCTAACAGTTGTACATATTCAACTCAAAATTCACATATGGATACATCAAAGGAATGTGCAGACTAAGTTCGAATTTGTTTATGGTCCGATGATTTTTGGCAGAGTTATGCACCTTTCACTTTGAAAAATAATATGAAATTTTCAGTTTCCGTTCATTATTTCCCCAACAGTTGTACACATTCAACTCAAATTTCACATATGGATACGTCAATAGAATGTGCTGGTCAAGTTCGAATTTGGTCATGGTTTGATTATTTTTGGCAGAGTTATGCCCCTTTTACTTTCAAAAAAAAAGAAATTTTCAGTTTCCGTTCATTATCTCCCCAACAGTTGTATATGTTAAACTCAAATTTAAACTATGGACATGTCATAACAATACACTGGTCAAGTTCGAATTTGGTTATGGTTTGATGATAGCTGACAGAGTGATCCTTCTTGAACTTTGAAAAAAATCTGAAATGTTTAGTTTTCGTTCATTATCTTCCAAATGGCTGTACACATTCAAATCAAATGTGTCATATAGATACATTTTAGGAATAAGCAGTTCAAGTTTGAATTGGCCATGATTTTGGACGAAGTTATCTATTTTGAATGTTGGAAAAAAATGAATTTTCAGTTTCAGCACTCATACTTTTGTGGAAGAGTATGTAGTCATGATTTTGGCTACAAATATGCAATATATAATTAACAAAAAGGTTAACACTGAATAGTTTCAGTGCCTTGAACTTTGTATAAAACTGGTTTGTGTTAACAAAAAGTAGTTTATGCAAACAAATTTGGAACTAAATATTATAACATCTGAAATTTTGGCCGCATTCGGGGGCATACGTGGCGTGACGACACATTTCTAGTTGTTACTATATTTGCCATGATGCAGAAGTGTCTATTGAATATTGGGGTCAAGGTCATATTTCAGTATGTTAAATCATTTGACATATGTGCTGATGTGTCTAATGTTAAGATACAAAGGGCATAGTGCAATAATTGATTCAAAAATAAAAGATTTTTTATTGACAAAAAATAGGTATTAACTGTATTAACAAAGTTGGATTAAATTCTGAAATGCAGGTACAGTAACTTTTTCTTAAATACCATCTTTTTAATTAAGCATTACAAATTTCTTAAAACATAATCATATACATGGTGTGAATCATTATGCCCTTAAAATGAGCACTAATTGTTCATTTGATATCTCTACAAACCTCACATCTGTCTTGCTAGAGTTCAAGACTTGAATCATTTCGTAAATATCTCTGAAAATCATGACCCAGGTATTGAATATTTTACACAAAAATTGCAAAACATTTATTAGACATTCCAATTTAAGGTTGTTTCCTTTCACACAAAAAGATAATTAAAATTTTACAATATGTAAATTATGAAAGTTTATGACCCTGGGGCGACAATTTGAACAATCTTGGCAGAGGTACACTGCACACTGTTTCATGACAAATATCTAACCTCTAGCCGTTGTCAATTCAAATAAAAAAAAAATATGTTTTTATTATATACACATAAGGAAAACCTATGACCCCCGCCCCCGGGCTGGGCCAAATTTGGCACTAAGGGCAAAATTTGTACAACTTTGATAGAGGACCTATAAATAATATTTTACACTAAATATCATAGCTCTTAGCCTTGCACGTTTGTGCAAAAAGTTTTATTTTATATGATACTATATGTACATAATGAAAATCAATGACCATAGGGCGGAGCCAATCTTGACCCAAGGGCTATGATTTGAACAATCTTGGAAGAGGTCCACTAAACAATGTTTCATGACAAATACATGTATGTAACCTTTAGTCGTTGACAATTCAGAGAAGAAGGTTTTTAAAGATTTTGCCATATACATATATGGACAATCTATTATTCTAGAGCGGGACCAATTTTGACACTAGAGGACCTATAGATGATATCATATGGCAAATATCAAATCTCTAAGCCTTGTACCTTCAGACAAGAAGTTATTTTAAGCTTTTACTACATGTACATAGTGAAAATCAATGACCCCCGGGGCGGGGCCATTTTTGACCTCAGGGATATAATTTGAACAATCTTCGTAGAGGTCTAGAGGACAATGTCTTGTGCAAAATATCTAACATCTAGCCTTTGTCAAATCAGGAAAGCTTTAATACTATGTAATCATTGACGTGTGAGCTATTGAATATGATGTGATATGATATCACCGGTAAATTTCATAATGACCTAGACGATGCCGGTGAATATCTCACCATATTCTACGGATCATTAGTCAATAACTATAATAACTGTTTATTATTTGATCAGTATAAGATTAAAACACGCACACACACACACACACACACACGCACACGCACGCGCACGCACACGCACACCAACACACACACACACACACACACACACGCACACGCACACGCACACGCACACACACACACACACACACAACTTTCACTTTTACCTATTTTTGTGGAGTAAGTGGACTTTTAAATAGAGAATTTTGTCATAAAGAACATAATGCAACACTATTTAATAGTCTATACTGTTTTGCCATTGAAAAATTAATCTGGCTCTATTTCATGTAGGAAAAATCAGCTATTGAAAATAATTATACACCTAGTCATAAATGGCATGCCTAAATCATATTCACCCAGTTAATATTATTAATGCACGCGCAGATAATTGTCCTTGCTATATAGGTAAAATTATTCAACTTTATTAGAATTTATTCAAAATTTTAGTTTTATTTCCATTTGCATTCAAAGAGTGGTGTATTCAACACAGTTTGATTTCCCAATTAAAGAATTCTCCTGAGCAAACTAAGAACATTAAAGAGTAAATATTAAGTAATAAGTAACTAAACTCTATTAATAGAAAACAAAAAGCTTTTAATTTTCAACACCAGATCAATAGTGCCAAGTTGGATACAGACCTCCTTCTATTTTTAGAAACACTTAATAATATATGTTTAAACACCACAATGGTTTCAGAATCGGGATAGATTTGACAATATTAAATTTTCTCAACTCGGCAGTACATTATTTTTTTTATATTTTTTTTTATTTTTGAAGAAGAATGTATAGACGTCAATTTTAATTCAATGTCAGTTATTAATATTCATTTATTTATTTATTTTATTAATTTATTGGGTTTTACGTCACACCGATACAGTATAGGTCATTTGGCAACGTTCCAGCTTTACTGGTGGAGGAAGACCTTAGGTGCCCTTCGTGCATTATTTCAGGCACGAAGGGGCACCTGAGTAGAACAAGAGACGTTCCGTAAGCTAGCTGGATCATTTATTAATACTACATTTAAGTAAAATTACATCAGTAAACACTCTTGACCTATCTTTTCTTCATTCGACTGTTTCTATGTCATCTGTTCTATTTCAACTGATAAGGGCGGCCTGGAGGTTAAAAATAGTTGGTAGCCTGAACAGCTAACATAGTTTCAGTTTATTTCATATGAAGTAGATTGGTAAGTATATTGGCATCATTCCGGTTATACCGTTGAGGCAGTCCGGCAAAAAAGGAAGTAAATAAGGATTAATCGTTCTATTAGTATTTCTGGCTATACTATTGTCATGGTTGTTGCAGCTTCAAGCACAAGTGTGTCTTACATGAATTGTAAAAAAAAATATCTTCTGGACAGGCCTATTTTACCTCTTTGATTTAACTAAGTGACGACCAAAAGAGGTCCCAAGTTGAAAAGGTCAAACTTTTGTTGAAAAAAATACCCGAAATACAGCAAAACAGGTTTTCGGCAGTTTGGTAACAGGTGACGAAACATGGATGTATTTCTTCGAATTCAAACGAAAATGTTCTAATCAAATCTGGGCCACCAAAAACGCAAGACGCCCTAGCATTGATAAAAGAATACGAACCATGATAAATGTTTTGTTTGTAATATTCTTTGATAACAAGGGCCCAGTCGTGCAAATTCCTGTGCCAAAAGGTAGAACTGTCACAGGCATGTACTAAAGAGACCCTGTACTTCGCAAACTTAAGTAACACAGTTTGATTTAAACCCCATTAAAGGATACTCCTGAGCAAAATAAGAACACCAAAGAGTAAATATTAAGTAATGTATAACTAAATTATATTTTAAAGAACACGCTTTTAAGCTTCAACGCCACAACAATGGTGCCAAGTGGGATAGAGGCCTCCTTCTATTTTTAGAAACACTTTTTATATATTTTTTTCAACACGACCACAACAACATATCTTTTAAAGATACATGTATTATTAAACCGACTAAATCAAATCTTTATTCAAATAGTTAATCGTTTCCTTAAATATGTTGATTGTAAATTGGTAGTTTATATTTTATTTCGTAAAATTGATTATAATTCTCTAACTTTATATTTTGATATAAATATTATCTTACTTTACTTTTTCACCACAAATGACATTTTGTGGTTAAGAACGTATAGGAAAAAAATCAACATTAATGAATCTAATAAAATAACATACAATATAAAACAAATGGTAAATCGTTCTTACCGGGCGGTTATTTCCTGAAAACTATTGTACAACGGTAAAGCTTTTAGATATATTTTGACACGTGTAATGCTCAGTTAGTCAGAAACAATGCCGTCAATGCATTGAAGTACATGTAATTTAAAATGGTTGATAAGAAAAATATGAGTACGAATATTTGCCCCATATTTCATCGGTCTAAGTCACAACTGATAACTGATAACGAATTTTTTGTTGTAGTTTTTCTTTTTCATATATTTGCTTTAAAGTTCATTTATGTATTAAATACAATACAACTCTTTTAGAATACAGGTTTTTGAGCTTGTAGTTCTTATTCCTTCTCTATCAGGTAACGTGTTTTCGCTGATTAATTTGTCAATTTGAAATTTATTAAATTTTATTCATTATCGGCAATAATATGAATGATATATCTATGTATACATTTTGTAATAGATGTTACCAAATTATTGCAGTATGGTTTAAAAAATGCAATGTGTTTAAGAAATTATTGCAAAATACTTCACTTAAGGTCTGAGCCCCATAATGGTCAATATTGCAATTTGAAAAAATTTCATGCTAGTTCTTTTCTATATCAGGTAAGACACTTACACATGAAATAATAAAAACTTTCACCGTTTATTAAGTAATAAAAGCTGCATGTTGTGAATTCCATAAAAACAGAAATAGCTCTACTTCGTTAAAGTTTGTTTCCCATTGACTCTAGGTCTGATTTTGGTGTCTAGACTACCAAAATGAGTTTATAAGTGTTAAAGTTCTCAACTACCTTGTGGCGAAATCGAAAGTACAACCTGATTTTGCATAAAAACACAGATTTAGTCAATCAAACATAACATAAAAACAACGATAGTAAGGGAGTTTTTTTTTCTCCAAATTTTTCGGTATATGTCTGCATTATTCCTTATTCTATTCCATTATTCCATTGTAAACGGTAGGTTAGCTAAAATAAATAGCCCTAAAATGAAATTTTAAATTCTTGCATAGATCAAGTAATGCATTTAAAAAATGCATTGAAAAAAGCAAAATATGATAAAGAAATATGCCATACATAGAAGTAATCATTCAGGGAAAACGGAGTAATGTTATGAACACAGGTTTTAGTCCAAAGCGACATCATATCACTGAAGAGTCTGGTTAACATATTTCCGGTCCCTTCAATTAAAAGAACATCAGTAGAGTCCCTTTAAAGTTTTTTTTTTCGATTGTGTGAAGTTTGGGGCTATTTGCACGAAATATATCGAAAATCTCGTTTAGATTCAAACGAAATATATGGAAATTGATCAAGATCTGCCGAAAATTTTCAAATGGTGATACATGTATCTATTAACACAATGAATACTTAAGTGCTTTTTGCGCTTTGATTTTATACATCATGCGAGATATACCAATGTGCAATGTAGTTAGTACCAATTAAACGTTTTATTTTTTTTATCTTATATACTGATTATAATCATTTAATGCGGCTTTTGATACATCATATGGCAGCTAAAATTAAAATAAGATAACTATTTTTATGAAGCAATGTATAGACATAAAGATGCGCACTTAATCAAAGAGAATATTAAAAATATTTCTTGCAACCACATAGTCAAAGACAGCTTTCGGGAAATGTTTACAGTAACAAAGATATACCCAGTCTCTTTGTCTTTTTGTTTAGTTCATTTTCTTTGTAAAGCCATTTTTTAGTTCTTTCATTGTCTTCCGTCTATAAAATTATATACAAATGTGTGGAATTGGATAAAAATATGTGAACTGCAATGTGTGTGCAATTGAATAAAAATATGTTAACTGCAATGGGAATGGATTTTGCTTCAAAAGCTTAAATTTATTATATGTTCGTCGGCATCGACAAGGTTTAGCGGTTTGAACATCATCTCAAAATCTGAAATTGTATATATTAAGTTCTTTCTGTGTTTTGGGTAGCTTAATTGTATAGGAAACTAAAGACGACCATATCGATGGGGGGAAACATGAATACATTGAAAATAATAAGTATATATTTTGACAAACGTCGTTAAGTATATATTTTTTTATTCTAATCATAAATAATTGCCTCTTTACTTATTTTTTTCAAAATAGTATCTCTGTAGAAACTATTGTTTGGATAACTTACCGAAATATAACACAATTCAATATCAGCCGAAAATGGACTCAACCTATTTGGTCCTAGGTGCTCTAAAATTAAAGGAAAGAGTAGCGGTAAACGAAGTCTCACAGAAAATATAAGTATTAAATATTAAGAAAATTATTCCTTAGTTGTAGAAACTATTATCCCCGCTAGCCAGGAAATCTATCTTAGTAACAGTAAAATGATGCGAGCAACTCAACACGTCAAACAGAGTTTTGACATGGGTTGTAAAGCTTAATTGGTCAATTTTCAATTTCTTATTGGTATAAACTCTACTATAAATGACATACATGTTTCTCCTTTTTTATATTGTTTCCATGCAGCTATTTTTATGTCTTAAAACAGAACAATTTCAAAGGTTACTAACTCGAAAATAAGATCAGTACACCCAATTCATTGTTTGCTAAAATTGCCCTGTTATCATTTTCTGAGACCATTAGTTTAAATTTATTCTTTAATTTAACATTTGCTATATATATACTTTTGACTTTCCGTTTGTCTTCCAGCATAAGTGTATATCTGTTCCGAGGTGTTCGTCTGTACTGTTCTCTAACACCCAAGTGTAGTTATAGTGATAACTTCCGAATTCTTTACAATGGACCAGTACCAGTCAGTCGTTTCGAAAACTATAAAAATGTGGTATAGAAGGAATCTTGTTTTTTTGCCACGAAAATAAATCTTGCTTGTACGCACTTAATGTAATATAAATTCGTCGACATTAAACACTAACTTTGACAGTCTCGCTATCAACTCAGAATATGTAATATTATAACTTTTCCCAGTGCTAAGGGTAGATTGTGGGTCAAAGAATAGTTTATAGGTCCATTCCTCGCCCTTTTTAGCTGAACTGTTTCTTGAACTCGAACTGTTTGAACTACTGCTTCTTGAACTCGAACTGTTTGAACTAGAGACGCCCATAACTATGTGGATTTTAAAAATTCATGTTAATATTCTCATATTTTGTTAAAAATCGTCAAAAAAAACTTTAAACAATTGTTATCATTTTTCTTCTTAAGGAAATTCTCATTAACATGATTTTTAATATATAGTACATTTGTTCCATGACACTTTGTAAGTCGTTTTGCGGATACAATGTTTTTAAGGAGGGTACAATAATACAATGAGCGTAAGTCAGCAGCCGACGGAATTTTCATACAGGAATCAGTTACAAAAAAACGTGAGCAACTTGCGTGCGAAGCCAGAAAATTGAAACGTGAAAATAAACTTCAACAAACATGGCTAGCATCTATGGGATTATGCTTATAAACAGTACTGAAAAAAGAGTAACAATAAAGTCCCTTGAAGCCATCGAAGAAATACGAGAAGGTAATGAACCGTTCATTACCTTCTCGTATTTCAGAACCAACTTAACATGCTCCAGCATATCCATAAATTACTGTATTGTGCTATCTGGGGCAGTGTTTGTTTATTTACATTATGTTGACCTCAATTATAAATTGAACATTTATAGACAACCGGTTTTCCACTCTATTATTAGCAACGTTGTTCTAAAAATAAACTGTGTAATTTCATATCTCTCGTCAATCCAATCTATTGATCCGATTTATTTAGTTACATTTATATTAAAATATCATTGTTATATAGATGAACAATACACATGTATAATTTATATGCACTTTATATATTGTTAAACTCAAAATGTGTCTAAACTGCATGCGACACGAGAATGTTTGTGGTCGTCTGCTTATGAATAAGTAGAACAAAATAGGTTGTTTGTTACTTACTGTGTGCGTGTAATTTCCTCTTTAAAATATCTAAAGGAGATACGCATTTTTGTTAGAAATACGAATAATATTAAAATTACCTACTTATTATTTTGATTAAGAATTGATCTGTTATTTGATCATCTATAGAAAAATACAAACTCAAATCATATTGTACAACAAGTAAAATGGTTACCTGCGGGGAACATTTTTAATGATATAAAGATATTTCATTTAACTATTTTCGACATTGTTTGGGGGGAATAAATAAACGGTTTTATCAGGAATATAGTTGACAATAATCGATCAATATAGAAGAAGGTCTTTGGAAACTGGTGAGTCGTTAATGACCGGAGAAGGTCGAACATAAAACAATTATTTCTTTTTAAGAAAATGATTAAATAGGCCTACCATTTTATGAAAAATTCCTAGCAAAAAAAAGTAAACACACAACTTTACGCAGAAAATATCTCTATTTATTCTGGCAGATGCCACTACGAATATTTTAATTTTGTATATGTTCACTGTTCAGTATAAACAATTTATTGTTTGTAAAATTTGAGATACATATTAAACATTGATAATTTTCAAACACATCATTCAAGTTTTTCCACCTTAAACGGTAAAATAATTATAGAAAATTAGAAATATCACGTAATAGTTTGTTGTTTTTAATTAGGTGTTACTCTGACTAATTCCCTAGAGGTAAATCCGTAACGTACCGGCAAACGGTATTTAGCCAGGTTTTCGAAAAGGTCAATTAACCAATCATGTACGGTTGACAGATCACATGCTCCTCCATGTACCGAAAACAGGTCACGTGCTCCTCCATGCCTCAAAAGTTAAACGCGTACCAATACACCGCAGGGAATAATATTGTTTTCTGTCCATAATATCAAAAGTAACGAGATTATTTGGTAAAATGAATCACTGTTGCGCACACATAAAAATGTTGATGCTGAGGATGAATGTGAATGTTTATATTTGTTGTAATTTTTTGATTGCTGGTGGATGTTTATGTTTGTTGTAAATGTTTGATTGATTGTGAATGTTCATATTTAACACAGTGTGGCAATACCACGTGATATTGACGTCATTTTCGGCATCATTTCCAAGACAAATATTGCTCGATTCGGAAAAGAAAATAGCCTTAAATATTTTATTTCTGTACCAATTTCTTTGGGATATGCACGAGTCTACGGGGAAAAATATAAGCTTTCCACAGAATGTTGGGTCGTCGTCAGTTT